TAAAAGTGATTTACATGTTATTCTCGGCAAAAGTAGATAAATATTATTTAAAAATATTAAATTAGTTTTGAATAAAAATATAACAATTAAGAGTGAGTGTTTACTATTAATGAGTATGTAATTGAGTTGTGTTGTGTTTGAATGTATTATGTAAATAAGTGAAATAAGTATTAGGTGAGTATACTGAACAGTTAAAAGCAAGTTACATTTTATACACGGCAAGAATAGGTAAACATTATTTAAAAATATTAAATTAGTTTTGAATAACAATAGAACTAAAACTAATAGAGACATTATCACACTTATTACTAGTCACTTTTGTAAGTTTAATAATTTCTTTAATTCCTCATCATTATCTATTTTTAGTGCTTGTTTTCCCTCATTCTGACGCATATAGATTTTTCCATAGGATATCCAGCAATATTTATATCCATTTTCTTTGGCAAATTTTCTAGATAGGTAAAAAAAGATTTCTTGCATATGGAGTAAGATACTCAGAGATGTATATAGGCTTTGCGGGACCAGTGAGACCAATGAGTGACGTATTGAAAGAAGTTCCGTTATTGGTTTTGCTGAATCTACGGGCGTTTTTTATTAATTTTTCTTTTGCAAGGGTTGAAGTTGAAAAAAATTAAAGGTTCGAGCTCGGCATCATCAAATGTTTTCGAGCGCATGATGTACTGAACTCGGTCTGCCAGGTTATGTTCTGTGACAACTATGTTGTGTGAAAGCAATGCATCCAAGCCCGATACGCTATTCCTGCTTTTTCTTCCCCTTTCGTCCTCTACGCCGTCGCCATCTGGTTGGACTTTGATTTATTTCTGTATTATTTATTAATTTATTTATGTTAGTACAATAAATATATATTTATCATTTCATTTTATATATTTATTCAGCCCAACCAGATGAGAATATACTATTAATACCCCAAAATAATAATAAAAATTACATTTAGAGCATATAAGTAGTACATAACAACTTTGCCCGTGGATCGCTGGTGCCTATGATGGGTAAGATACCCGTATTACAGGTCACCAGGTCTCCACCTCTACGACGAATGCTCTTTGTGTCTAAACATTAACACATAAAAATTAACTCTATTTCCACATTTGTCGTACCCAATGAAATAACTGTTTATGGTTAAGAAAACTTAGAAAAGTGTGTGTTTGTGTGTATGTGTGTGTACGTGTGTGTATGTGTTTGTTACACGACAACCTCCAAAAGACTTTCTGTTTTTGCATAGGTTTGCTTAAGGAGCCAGTTAAAATAATTTTTTGCACCCATATTGATTTCTAGAAAATAGGGATAAGGTTTTATGCAATTTATTATATAAATAGGGGCAAGGAATAAGAAGAATCCGTGATTAAATGTAGTTTTAACTTGAGTAGATGTTGCAACTAGTTGGTTGCGTCGTGTCCATTCGGAGACATATTTGGTTGAGGCATGTTGTTTGTAATGTAAATCACTTTTAACTGCTCATATATACTATCCTCATATATGCTATATATATATATATATATATATATATATATATATATATATATATATATATATATATATATATAACTGCTCATACTAACCTCATACTTATTCCACTCATTTACATAATACATTCAAACACAACACAACTTAATCACTCACTCATTAATATTAAACACACACTCTCAATTGTTATATTGTATATACGATCCATTAACTATAGCTTTAAAATTAACAGTACCACTTCAGGTGATTATTTTATACCGTTAGTTAAAGAATTTAAGTTAAAAGTACACTATGTAACGTCTTTAAACGAATTACAAATACTTAGTTATGGGTTATTGCTTGTAGTGGTTACTTTACATATTTATTGCACACAATTTAACTTTTTGTACTCAATTACTAATATAATTTAAAGGCGATAACACAAAAAACTTAAGCGATGATATTGACCAATTTACTATATCAAACTCATCACTACTTTACGACCTGGATAATTTGTCTAGGTTAATATGTGATCAAAAACATAAGTTAAAAATAATGCATCAAAACATTAGAAGCATTACTCGCAACACAGATGAACTTAATGTTCTAATACATAGGTCAGCTTTAGAATGGGACTTAATTCTTCTTACAGAATGTTGGTCGACAACCATAATAAAAAATGTAAAAAATATCCGCATGATGACGTAATCGTAACTACATACAAACGTTACCGTAATTATTGTAATGAACTACTTAAAAAACTGAAAAAAGAATATGAAAAAGCAGAATTAACAACAGCAGTTAAAACAAGCAATAAAAAACTTTGGAACACAATTAAAGCAGTCACAAATACGAATAAATTAAATAATAATGCCGATATGTTGTTAAATAAATCTGACCCTAAAACTTCAGTTAATTATGTTAATTCATTTTTTGTAAATATTGGTAAATCTTTGGCGGAAAAACACCACGTTAATAAAAACACTCGTAGCATTTTTCCTACAAACGTATATCAACACTCCATGGTACTTATTGACACGGACGAACATGAAATAGAGACAATTATTTTAAATATGAAATCTGATTGTAGCGTAGGTAGAGATACTATTTCTACTTTATTTTTAAAAAGGTATAGACATTTACTAGTTCCCCCCATTACATATATATGTAACCTTTCCCTTAAAACTGGAAAATTCCCCAAGTGTTTCAAACTAGCTGAAATTCACCCTATTTACAAGAGCGGTGATGTGGGCTGTGTCAATAACTATAGACCCATTTCTATTCTTCCCACTATGTCAAAAATTCTTGAAAAAGTGATTAACAAGCGTTTGACTAATTACTTAGAGAAACATGATCTGTTATCACATTGTCAATATGGTTTTCGACCTAAACGTTCAACTCAGGATGCAGTTCATGAACTAACAGATTTCGTTGTTACAAACCTTGACCGTAAAAAGAAAGTAGTTGTTATATTCCTTGATCTAGCTAAAGCGTTTGATACAGTTTACATCCCGCTCTTGTTGAATAGGCTAGAAGATCTTGGAATAAGAAATACATAGCTGAAACTATTCTCTGACTACTTAAGGGATCGATATCAGAGGGTAAGGATTGGTGGTTGCTACAGTAATGACCTTCCCATATCATATGGTGTACCACAGGGTAGTGTGCTTGGTCCCACGCTATTTCTTACATATATTAATACACTATGTAATCTAAAATTCACAATGGGAGGATCATTGCCTTTGCGGATGACACGGCTCTTCTTTTCCAGGCAGATACATGGTCTGAGGTATTTAACTTCGCACAAAATGGGTTCGATTTAATAACTAAATGGCTAAAAGAATCTAAACTTACATTAAATGTCGAAAAAACAAAATACATAGCATTTACTACCCAAAACATCAATGTATCTGAGTTAGAATACTTTCACATTACAGCTCACTGCTGCTCCCAAAATGAAAGCCCTTGCTCCTGTCCTACCCTGTCTAGAACGAATTGCATAAAATATCTTGGCGTAATGATAGATAACACCCTAAGCTTTCACCTTCATATTGGCCTCTTAAGTACAAGGATACGTAAGTTAATTTATATTTTTAAAAATCTACGTCGTGTTGCAGATTTTAATGTAAGAAAAATGGTATATTTTGCACTGTGCCAATCATTGTTGACATATTGCATTACCATCTGGGGAGGAGCACCTAAAACGACTATATTGCAATTAGAAAGGGCTCAGAGGGCACTATTAAAAGTTAGCAATTCTCTTCCATTCCGTTGTCCTACAACTGACCTTTATCAACATTGTAATGTCTTATCTGTTCGTAAACTGTTTATATTGCACACTACACTGCTACAACATTCTCTTATACAGTATGAGTCCTCCTATAATATTGACAAAAGAAGGAAATATGTAGTTTGTCCCAGTAAGCTTCTAAAGACAAAATTTTCCCATATGCATTTTTGTTTCCTGGGAGGTTACCTTTATAATAAATTAAATAAACTTTTGTCAATTTACTCTCTACCAAAACATGCATGTAAACAAAAATTACGGAAGTGGTTGCTAAATATCGATTATATGGCTGCTGAAAATTTACTGAGAGTATTATCCTAAAAACATAACAATACACACACTCACAACTCAAATTTTCAGGGTTTCTGCTTCAGAAAGGAGGTACAAAAGTGACCAACCTTTTCTATATGGATGACCTCATGTTGTTCGCCTCCAGTCTCTCCCATCTTGTGGAATTGCTAAACCTCACTTGTGATTTTAAAATTCTATTAGAATGGGACTGGGAACGGATAAGTGTGAGGGCATAGATTTATCTATGTTCGTCAACTTAAAGACCCTTTCCGAGACTGAAACATACCGATACCTGGGTATGTCATAGAACATCGGTATCGATGAGGCTGGTATGAAGCAGTCAGTTTGTGAAGTGATTTATGCACGCTTGACTAAAGTGCTTAACAGCCTTTTGTCTGGTGTGAATAAGACACACGCATATAACGGCTGGGCCATGCCTGTTCTCATGTGTACCTTTGGCATACTCAGGGAAGGGAAAGGGAACTCAGGAAAAGGTTGGTCACTTTTGTACCTCCTTTCTGAAGCTGAAACCCTGAAAATTTGAGTGATTTTTTGCTTCAGGTCGTCTATGCGCTCCGTTAGTTTCTGCGTGATATCCGGCTGTTACAAACTGATATTTGTCCCAGCAAACGCCATTCTAACGGTGCGCACAACCCTCGGTCTATTATTACCCGACCTGAAACTTGTCAGTCTTCCGATACGGGCCCTTGCCTTTGCGTTACGGTCCTCAATTCTTTTTCTTCAGGCTGGGATGTCGCTACTTTGTTTGGTAGCGCGTTCAGCCATGGGAAGTTTGGCGCCAATAATACGGAAAACTACCACTGCGGCGCTAAAAAGAATTATGTCCGTCTCGCAAAGGTCCTGGCTGGCTTCCAAATAGGTCACCAGCATTAGGTTAAGAGCCCTCACGACAGCCCGATTTCGACCGCGACTTCCCCGCATACTCCATACGGGGAAGTCACGGTCGATCTTCGAGAGGCATGCTGCGCGTTTCCAAAATCGCTTCTTCCATTATGCTCCTTATTTGCTCTAGTTCGTGGGAGACCATTTCATCATCGTCCGAATCAACCACAACTGGAAGATCCATGGCGGCTTCCAAGTGTGGATGCTGGTCTGTCACGTGAGAAGCCGCATCTCCAGCCTTAGCCGATTTATTCGATGACGGAATGACCTCACGTCGTAGTCGTTCGAGCTCGGCATCATCAAATGTTTTCGAGCGCATGATGTACTGAACTCGGTCTGCCAGGTTATGTTCTGTGACAACTATGTTGTGTGAAAGCAATGCATCCAAGCCCGATACGCTATTCCTGCTTTTTCTTCCCCTTTCGTCCTCTACGCCCGCAATGCGTTTGCGTTCATATTTTTTGTCCAACGCATGCGGCGCATTCCACCAGCGGCGGATGCCGCTTGCCGAGGCCGAGAGGACCCTGCCGACATCAAGCCATCTGGTGGGGATGGTGGATGCGGGGGGCTGCTAGGTGACCTTGCAGCTCCTCGCGCTAGGCTGGTGGCCTGCATCCTGACGCGTCCAGCGCTAGCTCAGGCGCGCCCTGGCGACCTCCAGGCAGCGGCCCTTTACGTTGTCTGTTATAATCCATCATCCATTTTTGGGCTTAATTAACGGGAGACGCCCAGGCCCTGCACCGTTTCATTGTATCATTGTACGGCCGTAAGCACAAACGGGCCTTTGCACCCTCAGTACTGCCAAGGCACGGCGCTCACACCTCATGGTAAGACGCTGACTGACTGCACCGACGTAGCAGTTTTGCCATTAAACTGTTACATCAGCGTACGACAGGGTCGTTACTTCCCTATGCCTTTTTATTTTATTATTTTTTTGTTATTATTATTATTATTTTATGCGATTTGTTACAAAACATGACGTGTTGGATGTTTTGCACTTAATACCGGTCACATACATAGGGAATTCCGTTTCGATATTCCGTTTCGGAATTCCGATTCGGGATTCCGTACATACATCACACACATATGTTTTTATCTGTTCGGAATAACAGGGCTCAGTTGAGAGATGCCAGCCATTGAGTACAGATATTCAATCAGCGAATTTGTTCGACGATATTGCGATTGCATTGTTGCTGTATCAAGCCAAGAAGAAAACATATTGCCACCGTTACTGGGTGCATCCTCTTAACACCCTAAGGGCGCTTTTTGACTTATCGGTGCGGGAGCGGTGCGAACTCGTTTCGCTCGGTATACGCGGTATCGAAAGCTCTCGGTAGCATATATTTTAATGTGCGGGTAGGGATCGTTTCGTTCTGCCGCGTCTTGAGATGCGTGTCCAGAAACTGCTCGACATTTACCGCGCACAGTCGTGCAAACAGGATGGCTCAGCGAGATATTCAAGTCGTTTTAGTACTAGAAATTGAACATTCTCTAAACCTTGTATTTTGCTTTGTTAAAACTGCAGTCCACAAATTCAAAAGTTATCCGTAAGTTTTTTTTAACATATCAATAAAAAAAATTCGTTGTCTTGATAAAGTTCTGGGGCCGCAACAAAAAGTCGACAATTAATATTATTTTCGATATATGGATGACGCCGATAACGTTTTCTTTTTTTACGTAGGCGACAAATATAACAGCATGCCGAAATATCATCATCACTCGAAGACGACACCCTCGGTATTGCAGGATTTTATACCGATAAGTGAGTAGTTATGAGTAGCAGTGAAAGCAATGCGGTATTGTTTCGGTACAGACCATACAAATCCCGCACCGCTCCTGCACCGACAAGAATAAGCCTGTTCGAATGTGTATGGGAACTTGTCTAACTAGCCCCATACGAGTGATACTACATGAGGGGATGGTAGCTTCATATTTAGAAATTTGGAGAGCTGGGTGATCGATAAAGGTGTCTGCATCTGCTGCTGTTTTAAACTCCACTGATATTCTATTTCGTCCATTTTTATTTTTTTGAATTGAATTTGAATTGAATTGGTTTAAGAGTTACTCCAGACAGCTGATCATTTACTTACGTGAACTAGAAAAGGAGCGGCATCATCTTGAGAGTACTTAACTTTTTTATTAATAAAATCGGGATGGGTATATGAGGATTGTATTGAAGGAAACTGTTGATTTGGATCAGTAATAACTATTTTTTGTGGATGGGCAGACTCGTTACTTACTTGGGCACGTTTACGGTTAATTAGTTCTACATTATGAATGTTAATGGGCAAGGAAAAGGAATCATTGCGAACCCTTCCGGGATCGGGAGGTTCGTCCTCCATTATATTACTACAACAAAAAATTACATAAAAACGGCACAACTACAAACATTTACTAATTTACAGATGTTAAAACCTCCACCAAGACAGAAAAATTTACTATAGTAAATCAACAACACTTAATAAAACAATAAATTTTAAGCAAAAAAGGCACGACACTTGTATCTCTCACTTCCTCCGAATCCCGAAGCGTATACTGTCTAGTCTGCCGAAACCCCTTGACAACTGGGGGTACCACAGATTTTGATAATCCTAATGTTAAGACCATATGTTTGTAGGTGTGGCGAGTTTCAATTAAAGTAACAGCCCTAGCAGATTACGAAAAACACACTTTGTAAGTGGCGATTAGATCTTATATTCTCTTTTTTTTTTGCAGTAATAGTTCACACTTAAACTTTGAGTATTCAACCAACTTTGTTTAATACTCAAAGTACTTAACACGACAAACAAGGCAGTCAAGGTAAAAATTTAAGCAAAACGTAAATTTAAACTTAAATTCAAAAGTTGACAAAAGTTTTCGCACTATGAAAGAATACCAGACCAACAATATTACGTTATAATTAGATAACAACTAATTAGGTATTTCATATAACAAATTAGAGTATTATTAAGTTGTTTTACAAAGCGTAACTTATTTTTATTTTATATGTTCTTCATATAATATAAAATTCTATTACATATATTTATTCAAAATAACATACTAATTAAAAAATAAAACAATTTTTTTTATGTTGTAAAATAAGCATAATGAATTAAATAATCTCTGGGAATAAATTATTAGCTTTGTTCTTGAGGCTGAAAGATAATAATCAAGACGGATTAAAAAAAAAACATAGGAAACAAAATGGACGAAGTGTAGTGGCTGTGTACAATAAGGTTTTTAATTGTGAGGTATTTATGATTTGAGCATTTAATCTCAATTATGTTATAGATGAACATTAATTATTATCTCGATTTTAATTGAACTCTTAAGTCATCGACTGATTATTTTTTAAAGTTCCGTACAGTGCTCTTCTGAGAGTATGGTGTCCATTTTGTGAACAACCGTGTTGTGTGGCGCTATAAAGTGAGTACTAAAACATTATTTGTTATAAAGTAAGAAAGAACAATACGCTGTATAATTATTTCATTTTATATTGTTTATCATTCGATGTAAAATTTAATTTAGATATATAGATTTCTTTCGTTTTGTAATTCATTTTAAGAAATCACCGCCACCTTTATTTATCTGCTTAGATGACTGCAGAGTCTTGAAATTCTTTTCTTGACAATTTCGAAATATAAAGGTGAAGATTGTTCTAGATTTTTACCACCAGATTAAATAAAATACCTTTGTTTAATCTGGTATGATATAATGTGCTTTATAAATTATATTGTGTTGGATACTTTTATGATATAATTTGTAATATTTGTAAGTTGTTTGGATAAATATCGTTGACCTGAACGCTACAAAAATGCTATAAATTCTGTAGTTTAGGTATCAAGCGCAAGATATGGAGCCGAGCAGTATAACTTAAAGGGAGAAGTTGTATCGCTATATGTGTATATTATCATAAGCGTATAGCTTTTCCCCTTGGTCATACTTGCAATAACCTCAGTGAAGATGTAAGAAGACAGTCATAAATAACACATCAGAAGACTTGGGTGGCAATTAATCATGTATATTAATCACCTGTCTTGACTTTGAATTGACTGCCTCGTTGGTCTAGTAGTCGCAAATGCGATTGTGAGGTCCCGTGTTTTAATCCTGCGTCAAGCCATAAAAAAAGTTATCAAGTTTTTCTGTCAAGAAATTCTCAGTAGCAACCCTGTGTCAGCTATTTTCAATGCTTTTAGAGGCACATTGGTCTTGCATCTGATCTCTTTTCAGTTGTTTCAGTTTGTTGTCCTATTGCACTATGAGTGTGAGGGAAAAGGGAGTGCAGCTGTGCTTTCATATACACTCACTATAATCCTGTACAACACAGATGGCTAGTCTCCGTTAAGATTGACTGTGGTGACTGAAATTTGGTTTGGGGAACATTATATCAACCACCTATATCTGTATATAGTTTAGTTAGTTACACCTGATTGACTTGAAATTTAGTAGGTATAGTTATTCATTTCCCAATGTAGATGCTCACTAAAAACAAATTTTATGATAGTACTATAAAAAAATTGTGATATATCTATGTTATTATTGTGCACCCAGCGAAGGGCTATTATAATATTATATATTAGCAATAATATATATTAGTTATTGCAATATTGTAATCAAGAGGTTTACAAGTAAAATTACTGTTATGCAGGTGGAACATATTATTTTTATAATAAGCTGTTTAGATTCAAGTAATTACCATTGGGTAGTATTTATATTTGATTTAATGTAATTGAATTGATTTTTAATTTTTTAATTAGGTTAATTAAAACTAAATTTTCGTATTTCTCAAATTAACTTTAATTTAGTCATAAACTTCACCAAGTTTTGAGCATTTAAATAGGTAATTATTTGAAAGTTTTAGGGCAGGCTGCGGCTTAACTGTAAGCCTCTGACATGCTACAGTTTTGTTTTTTGCTTTGTAAAGAAATTCCAAGAGAGAACTTCTGTCAATGGCATTACTAGCCCAATCAGAATCTACATATCCTTGTAAGATATCGATAGATAAAAGGTAATAGGGCATAAGTGACATTTTGGTCTAAAATGAGACTTGAATGCCATCCTATTTAAAATTTTCCACTTTTTGGAATGTGCTTACTCCATCATTAGTCGGTCGCGTGTAATGACGGCGAGAGCCTGCACGCTTGCACATTAAGCTTATGCAAAAAGTGCACCAAAGTTTCATTCCAACAAAATATCAAATATTCTAAACTCTGAGCTGAGATTCGATCTTATGTTTCCCAACAACCGTTTGAAGTACTTCCTGGTACATCTTCGGGAACCGACACTAACAACACTAATTCCTCAATTATGGACGACACACACGGTTAGTTCAGCTGATCATTTCAACTGATCGGTTCAAACTCGGACTGTTGATATTTTTTAAAATATCGAATTTTCAATATATCGATAATTAAACTTATATATAAAACTCTGATATCGATGTATTTATTTTAATTTTCAGTAGTCACAAATAGCATTTTATTGCACAGTAATAAAGGGGTGGGTAAGGTTTACAATTCAGTCGCCTGAATTAGGGGGTGGTGGGTGGTGTCGGGGGAAGGGGAAGAGTTGTAGTCACCCACTACATCCCCTTCCTGCCGGATGTGCTTAGTTTTTTTTTTATAAATTTTTAAAAATCTCATTTTGAGGTTATGTTTCGTAGTTTTTATGACAATTTTAACCTGATTTATGGGGAGAAAGAGTTGGGGGACGGAAGCCCCACGCCACTTAACGTGGTGCAGTTGAGGGAAGCCCAGTCGACAGAGCCCCGCTTCGCGGGGCTCCTACTTCTGAGTGGTTTACAAAAAAATAACCATGAAGGGGATGACGGGGTCTATTCGCTCGCTCACTCAACCCCGTCATCCCCTTCTAACCTAACCTGTCCGAGTCGAGGTGCCCCACGTCCTAGGCTCGCTTCGCTCGCTATTGCACCCAATATAACCAAAATATTAACTTTTATAACTACTTTAATTTATAAACATAATTTATGGCTGCCACTATTTGTAAGAAAGGATCTTTGCGATATTTAGCAGTATTCCGCCAACACAAATATTCCACTATTCACCAAAATTATGAAACTCTGAAGCAACGGCATGATGAAAAGCTGTCAACAAAATGGCCGGCCTAGCGATTAATTTTACACATTTTTAAATCGATTCAAATCGAAATTGGATAAATCGATTCACAAAACATCGAAATCTTAAAGATCCATTTTGCAAAAATCTATCTTTTTTTGATTTGCGTTAAAAGTTTATATTTACAATATCAAAAGATACACTAAAGTACAGATAACATTGAATGGTTGAATTAAAAACTGTCATTCTTTATGAATTGGGGTACATTCAACTAATTTTAAATAATTTTACAAATCTTAATAAAACAGAAAAAGATTCGATTTTGATTCTCTAGGGTGAAATATCGATTCACTAGATCATTTTAGTACTATATATCGATATGACAATGATAGATGAAACGTCAAAAACGTAATTAATTAGTCATTTGCCAATATTTTAAAAAATACTTCGACGCTGCTCCGGCAGCAAAAATCGAGTGGGGGTGCTTCAGATAAACACCCTTGACCCCCCCACAGTGACAGAATCTTCAGTCAGGCGACCGAATTGTAAACCCAACCCAAGTAAATAAAAAGTTGTTCAACACGTTTAAAAAGCGTAGCATCATATTAGTCCGTGCATTTAAGCAAACTGTAGTATATAATTGTATCACAACTGCAGATATAGTCTTGTTTAGTGATTTACTGGTAACCACTGGTAAAACTTAAGTATACACAGGATTATTTTTCAAAGATTAGCCAAGTTTTAAACTTAAATTCAAATATATTAATAACAATATACTGTTATTGTAGTATTTGAAAATACGAGTAAATAAGGCTTCTATTATTTGAAATTATCCCAAATTGAATGTGATTTATGGGTAATAACGTTTTTTCCTACCGATAGACCCTTACAAATGGGTGCATGTGCAGTAAAATCCGTTAAAATAATGCATTACCATGCCTATCGAATTAAAAAGATAAAAAGGATAGAAAGTTTGAGATTTTTTTTTATTAATTTTTCTTCACCATTTGCCTATACAGTGGACCTCGGTAATCCGCCCTCTGATTAATCCGTCCCCCTTGTAATCCGACATGTCTTTAATCTGTGGGTAGATTCGAATCGCGTTATGAATCCGCCACGCGGGAAGTTGTTCTTCGCGAATACGTGGACAAACAGGTTGCAATTAGTTCGCGCGCCCACGAATCTAGCTTAATGCATATTGTCTCGATTCAAATGTGACTGGTAGCGCCTAGCAGGACCGGATTACATCACATTTTTATTTTTTATTATTTTATATTTGATATGTAATCTGATGGATTTCCAGATAGTCTTTTTCGAAAAGTTCCGGACTACCAGGGGGCTGTGGCAGTACTATATAGTCCAACAAATTCGATAATCCGACACCGCATTGCAAAACGTTTGTCTGATTACCGCAGGTCAACTGTATTACTTATTCTGAAACTTCTCTGCAAATTCGCCCAGTTATTGCTAATAACCCAGTATTTAATATTTATATATTTTGAAACATTTCAATAACATTTGCTATTTTATGTTTTAAAAGTTGACAGAACCTCAATTAAGTTTTGTACAATCTTCTACAAGAAGATAAATAAATTTTAAACATTTAAATGCAATGAAAAAATGTTTTGTGTGCTCCTTAGTCCTTATTCTTTGTAATTTTTTTTCAATTAAGAAATCTAAAATTAGGTGTATATTCAAGACATTTTACAAATTCAAAACATTTTTCTTCAAAGTTTATTTAAATTTAATTATAACATATATGTGCCATTTTGTTCGATAACTTACACCCATATTATTGGTAGTGACATAATCCTGTTGCTGTAGAAATCTAGAAATTTTCTTATGTGGTACCAAAAAAAAAAAAAAGTCAGGCTATACAAAAAAGATTGTTATCTTTTTTGTATAGCCTGACTTTTTCAAATGTGTCCAAAACTGTTTTGTGGTCAATTCTGAATTGTTGAATGAGTTGACATGTTGCCTACGGTGTTTAACATCCACAAATTACAATAAGTTTCACCGAATATAAAAGTAACTAAAAGTGATTATTGGTCTAATAAAAAAGTGGTACTTTGTTTACTAAATAAAATGGTATTAACAGAATAATAAAAACTTATTAAAAAGTTTGTTATAGTAATCATTAAATAATCTAGTAGACATTTGCCGACTTTCGTGTTTTGCCGAAAATCTTCAAAGCAGATCCTTGATATTTTCTATAAATTAATTTTAAAAAAAGTAAAGATTTTTCATTAAATTTGAACAAATTTTTTTTTAAACTATTGCCCTTTGATATTTTTAACTAGAAATGATATCAAATATTGAATTATTTTTCAAATAATTTTTAGATGTATATTATGATTTCTTATAAGATATTACATTTGGTTAAAATAATCTCACACAGTTATTATAGACTATGAGTGATTACCACGTTCAAGCTAATATATTCTTCTTCTTCAGTATTCTCATCTGTATCTGTGCCTTGTTTTCTCAAGCCAATCACATTGTGAGATGTTGGTTGGATATGTGTGTTTTATACACAAACTTATGATTTTTTTTTAATTACGCAAACTGGGCGATCAAACTTAGATTATATAAACTAGTTACATAATTTTATTTTCTAAAACGTAGGAACATTTTAGTGACATTGGTGTTAAGTTAGATATTGCACTATTTTAGGGTAAATCTACTAATATAGGTAAGGCTTTAGGCATTTTTTCAAGTTGACAGGGTTTTGGATAATTTGTGGTAAAACCGAACTTCATGTAACCCTGATTTTTATTCCCACCCAATGTATTGTTTTAAAGATTTGTCGAAGGGGATAGGGTCAAAAGAGTAGAATGAAAAAGTTTTTCTTTAATAAATAATATAATAAATAGAATAGAATAATGCTATTTTTACTTAGTTACATATTTGTTACTTAGTTACATAGTCGTTCATGAGACTGCCTCGTTGGTCTAGTGGTTGTAGTTGTACGACTGCTGATCATGAGGTCCTGGGTTCGAATCCTGGGTCGGACCAAAAAAAAATAATTATGGAGTTTTTCCATCAAGAAATTCTCAGTAGTTGCCCGGAGTCAGGAAGTTGGCGGTGTCTCACCTCCGTGCCTCGGAAAGCACGTAAAGCCCCGTTATTCCTGCGCCTGATCTCTCTCCGGTCGTGTCGGTTTACCGTCCCATCGGATTATGAGAGTGAGGGATTAGAGAGTGCACATGTGCTTGCGCATCCACTTGGGCACTATAATCCTTTCCTGCGCCGATGGCTAGCCTCCGCTGAGGCTTTATTATTATTATTATTAACATGAGACTAAGTGTTTGAGAATGTCTTCTTCATCAAAAAAACTCAAGACATTTAATTGTGAAATGATATTCAAATCTTGCAATTATGTTCTTTAAAATATTGAAAATTAGATGCAATAAATATGGCTATTTTGATTTTTTTACGATAATTTAGGGAGTATTTCTACAGGTTCTAGGGTAAAACCAAAATCATAAGTGAAAACACTGGTTCTGTGGTAGTTCATGAGTATTTAAGAGATGGCGCTGATTTATTCTATGCTAACCTTGAACAATTTTGTTTGCACGGCCATATCTTGTCATTTATAGAAATATTCTAAAGACTAACACAATTATTGTTCTAGATTAAGATGGGTGCATCAATTAATAATGGGATCCATCAAAACAAGTTTTTTTTAATTCACTCTTAAAGAGTGATGGACTCATATAATTTATTTGGTGATGATGGAAGCGGTATGTTGGAAGGACTTACTGATCTTGGTGGAGGAGACAGCTTTGCTGGTACCTCATCATCTGTGGTAGCTGGGGATAATAAAGAACCTGCTGATAATAGGTAATTTTTCAATGTAAACATTATTGGCATTGTTTATTTATTTACATTATATGTTACATGATTTTTAAGGAGTACAAAATTTTAATGTAAGAGTTAATTTTAAGCTATTGACAGTTACAGACAACCTTATAACCAAAGTAGTGTTGCACAAGAAGGTTCAATACAAAAACTGGCTACTTTTGGAAGTGGGAGTACCAGTGGACTAACAAGTAGTTCACAGCCAGTGCCCAACACAGGATCTGGGCCTCCAGCCCCTGATTACCACGATTACGGTAGTTATCCTCCTCGTCCACGCCTTCCTCAACCGCCTCATGCTCCTCTACATCCACCACACCATGTACATCCTTCACATTCTTATCCAGGCTATCATCCTGGCCCAGATCCCATGTTCACTATGCCGGAACAAACAGGTTAGTAGTAGCTTATTTTACTTTACAATATCCAACTTCAAGGAAATAGATATTCAAATAAAACAAGTAAAATAATGCTTTGTTTTGTATTTACAGGGATTGGAGAAATGGGAGTGTGGTCAAGTGCCCCTGGTGCTAACAGATATTCACCTATTACCCCAGGCTACAGACATTCATATGATCACCAACAAAAAATGCATCAGTACCCTCCACAACAGGTACTAATTTGATTATTGTAACTATGTTCAAAGTCGATACTTATGCAGACACACACACATAGTGCGACTTACTTGACTTTAACTCTTGAACTTATTTTCGCTCTTTTACTTGATATTATGTGCTTACTTATTTTTGACAAATTGACATAAGTCATAGTTATATTAATTATGAGAAAGTCCAAACAGGACTTTCTCCAAAAAGCACCATATAAACCACAGATTTTTTCTTTATAGGAGAGGGGGCAAACAAGCTTACGGCTCACCTGACGGTAAATGATAACCGTCGCCCCTGAACAGCTGCAACACCAGGGGCGATTGCAGATGCGTTGTGCCGGCCTTTTAAAAAGGAATAGGCTCTTTTCTTGGAGGTCCCTAAGTCGTATAGGTCCAGAAAATCTCTGGTGGTAGTTGATTCCACAAGAAAGTTGTGCAAGGAAGAAAACTTCTTTTAAATCGCTTAGTGGTGGACCGCCAGTCATCCAGATGGTGTGGATGGTATAGCGATGTGCGATGGTGAAACTGTGCGGCTGGAATTAGTCCGAACAATTCCCCAGAGCACTCCTCGTGGTAGATACGATAAAATACGCAAAGAGATGCAACATCTCTTCGCAGTGCCAATGAGTCAAGCCGATCGGAAAGAGCTCGGTCGCCGACAATTAAAACTGCTCTACGCTGGATGCGATCAAATGGAAGGGGCTGGCATTGGGGAGCCCCGGCCCCCCAGAGTATTCCATGTGCGGCAAAACCTGCGCCTTGTAAAGTTGCAGGCGGTGAGCCAGCATGAAATATTGTCCCGCTCTACTGAGCACGCCAAGCTTTTTAGAGGCCATTTTGGCCTTCTTTTCCAAGTGACCACGAAACTGCACGTCACTCGATATGTCGACGCCGAGGATTCCGATACTGGCTGATGCAACAAAGGGAGTGCCTTGAAACTGAGGACATACGACGAAGGGGTTCTTTTTAGCGATAAACGCGTAAACTTGTGTCTTCTGGGGATTAAACTGGACTAGATTCAGGCGCCCCCAGTCCGAGATTTTGTTCAACAGTCTCGACTTCAGACACAAGTTTGCGCAAGAAATATTGGCACGGCCGGTGTATAAAGCATCACAATTTGCAACATGTCATTGATATGCAGAAGAAACAGCGTTGGTGATAGCACGCAGCCTTGTGGAACCAGCGTTAATGGGCTTGTAATCGAAGCATGCACCGTCTACTACGACCCTGATGCTTCGATAGCAAGCAAACTGGAGATTGAATTGCACAATTTCTCGGGAAGATCATAGGAAGGAAGCTTCGAAGAAGCGCTTTGAGCTAAACCCGATCGAAGTCCTTCGCAATGTCCTAACGGCCAACGCCTCCCCCTTGGACTTTACTACCTTCGCCCATTTATGAGTTAGGTAACCCAGAAGATAACCGCGCGACCGCGACGGAAAGCGTACTGGCGGTCACTAATCGGCTGGTGATCCTCAAGGGACCGCATGAGCTGGCTGTTAATAATAGATTCCATTATTTTAGAGAACAAGGAGGTGATGGCGATAGGCCTATAGATGGACAGATCAGAGCGGTTACCTTTTTTAGGGATCGGGTGCAAGAAGGTTGTCTTCCATGATTTCGGGACTACGCCTAGGGAGTAGGAGTACCTGAAAAGACGCGTTAGGACCGGTGCCAACTCCGGAGCACACGTCTTCAGCACAGAATCGCAAATGAGTTACACAGTTGTTTTCTTTCAGTGTGCTCCTGTGGTTCCCAAATATGGAGCTTTTATGTATTTTTTATTTTATGCAAACTTTTAAAATGGGTCAAAACTGTTTTGTGGTCAATCCTCAATTCCTTGGCTATGTCGTAACTACTATGCCGATCTTGCTCCACTTTTTAGGGTTCCGTAGTCAACTAGGAACCCTTATAGTTTCGCCATGTCTGTCTGTCCGTCTGTCCGTCCTCGCTTAATCTCTGTGACCGTTAGCACTAGAAAGCTGAAATTTGGTACCAATATGTGTATCAATCACGCCGACAAAGTGCTAAAATAAAAATTGGAAAAAAATGTTTTATTAGGGTAGCCCCCCTATATGTAAAGTGGGAAGTGATTTTTTTTTTAATTTCAACCCTAACGTGTGATATATTGTTGGAAAGGTATTTAAAAATGAATAGGGGTTTACTAAAATCATTTTTTGATAATGTTAATAATTTAGGAAATAATCGCTCCAAAAGTAAAAAACAATGTGTCCCCCCCCTCTAACTTTTGAACCATAAGTTTAGAAAATATGAAAAAAATCTGGAAAGTAGAACTTTATAAGGACTTTCTAGGAAAATTATTTTGAACTTGGATGGAAAGAACAGTTTTTGTACAAACTCATAAGTGGGAACACTTACTGTGACGGACGAGAAACTACGGAACCCTACACTGAGCGTGGCCCGACACGCTCTTGGCCGCTTTTCAAATATGGCATCGACTTTATCCGTTTGAGGGCGACCAGAGCGAGCCGCATTTCTGACATTAATATACCTGGACTGAAAACGCTCAAACTAACTTTGTGCTACTCTTACTGACATTGCGTTAGGTCCATACACAAGTTTTTTTTCGCGGCTTAAGTCGCATTTTTCCCTTTTTTTGTAATAAAACTACAGATGTATCGAATTTCTTTGTTAGATTCACACATTTTGGCGAACAGAAAAACAATCAAAAAGGGCGGGAAAGTGTTTGTAACTTTTTATTATAATTTTTCTTAATATATTTTATGTATAAATATTAAAACAAGTCAGATACAAATAGTACAAGCAAAGAGGTTTTTCTTGAATTTTATTGAAACAAAATACGAAGAAACTTTTCCCCGACCTATTACGTTGATCGTTCGCGAACAACAAAAGACTAGAAAAAATACCGTACGACTGTCGGTACCGGCCGTTCACTCGCCCACTTAGTGTCTTAGTGTCACATGAGTACGATATTTTAGTGCTAAATCTAATGTGAGCTAAGTGTACCAGAATCGCTTTCTAGAAAAAAGAATGTACAAGTGACGATTAGCGCAACCAAATTGTGTAAAAACGTACAAGACACGTAGGGAAAGTAGTGTAGATATCACGTACTTGGCCAGCAGCTGGCCGACTTCATGGAAAAAGAGGGCCTCTTTATGATAAATTCTTTCTTCCAGAAGCGACCCCACAGAAAGTGGACCTGTTCGAGCCCCGACGCGACGGTTCGACAAAAAAATAAAATTTTTCCATGTACGAGATACAAAATGATTTGAAGCATACTTAGTTTTTACTTTACGTAATGCAAAAAGAGGCTTCTTTCGTGCACCTAACCAGATTCACTTTGCTTAAAAGTAGGGGAGAGTCGATGATATTATGTAGCAATTTGTACAACAACATTTGATCTCTTATATCACGCCGCTTTTCGAGTGTATAACTGTGTAAGCTATCAATAATGGAGTCTACAGAAGAATTATATCGCTTTAAGTGACGCAGAAATTTATTATTGATTGTTTCAATCATTTTAACATAAATTTTGTATTGAGGATTCCAACATGAAGAACAATATTCAAGAGTAGATCGCACCAGAGTATTAAATAGTATAATTAATGTTGTAGAGTTTTTAAAATTATTTATTATATATAAATTTTTAACTTTTTAGACTCTAGACTAGCTCTTCTTCAAAGGTTTTAATGAATTATTTGCCAGATTTAATACATGTATTGAAGTTAAGGGAGAATACATTGAAAAGCAAAAATAGTTTAATGTTTTGGACCTCCCCTCGTGTTTTCAGTAGTTCTTCGAGCTCGTGATAATCGGTAGTTATATAAAGCTTTTGATGAATCAAAAGGTCAAGTTGGGCACTGTGTTGGCGAACTTGATATCTCTTCGAAATATTTTTTTATTATTTCTCAGGCATGTAGGTTTCCTCACGATGTTTCCTTCACCTCCGAGCGGGTGGTAAATCAACACTTAAAATTTCAATTAACAATTGCAGTGGTGTCAGCGGGGATTGAGCCCAGGTTGCGCGCGTACTGTACAGTTTACAGCGAGCGCTTAGCCCCTGAGCCACCACGGTTCAATATATAATGTTTACTTATTTATTTTTATTTAAGAAGCTTAACCTTAATATTCAGGGTACCAAAGATGGTACCTGGAAGATACCTGGGTGCCAAAGACAATTTATTAAAATCGTCAGAGTGAGAGAAGTTGATCGCAGATAAACAAAATGTGACACATAATTTTTCTTTATAAAGATGTGTATGAATGCTTATGAGTATCTATCTAATTGTATTATTGTATTTTATTTTTAAAGAATGCCGGTATCAGCTTACAAACACAAAATGGGGCATATATTCCAAGACAGCCTCACTTCCCACAGCCTTCATCACAGCAAATTTATGGACAGCAACAGGTAATTTGTAGGTTACTATTAAACTTTTATTATTCATAGTTTAGTTTCTATTTGGAAGAATGAAAGATATATTACATTTATTACCCTCATTACGCACTGAACACCTATACCAGTATATGTGGGGAGGTTCTATGTGGATTCCCTCTGAGTTTTTTTCTTTCGTTACTATATGTATAAACGTTGTCGTTGTCGTCTTTTATAAGAGTTGTCGTCTCGTCGTCTTTTAAATAATAGTTTCAACAAAAATTGCCTAAAGATTTTATGAAAATCGAACCGGGATCATTATAAATTATACAATTAAGAAACAATACATATAAATCACTGCCGCCTGTTTAATCGTGAACTGTTCTCCGGAACTACTAAAATATTCTTTTAGTAGTTCCGAAGAATCCACCAAGCAGTATTTAAGAATTTGAAGAACCTACAATTTTTTTATATATTTATTATTAACAGTGCACTATTATAACATAGAATATATATAAAAAAGTACTAAACAGTCGCACCTATAACATTTTCAGGTTATGGTGAGATTGCCGTTTGATTGTTAACATCTCAGTATTCCCTTAGATATGGTAAAACTAATATTACTACTGTAATCTAGACACTGTAGAGAATAAATCGACATGCATTTCATTAAGTAACGGTACAATTTGTGGTGCGCCCATTCTCTATACAAAAAGAAATTGTCTCCTTTACTAGAATTAAACAGAATACATTTCATAACAGTACTATTAATTCTAAGTAGGTAGGTTATACATTTACCAAATCGTAAATCGCCCTTCACAAATCCACTGCTAAACATAGGACATTAGGCCCAAGAAATGCCATGAAGCACGATCTAGAGCGACCTGCATCTATCGACTTCTTGCATATCTTGCCAGGTCTTCACTACATTTAGTGGGGAGGCTGTCTTACTTTGATTACTGATACGAGGTTGCCACCCGAGAAACTTTGTTCCCCATAGATTGTCGATCCTTCGAGCTATTTGCCCAGACAATTGCCACTTCTGCTTACTTATCCGTCGGGCTATGTCGGTACTTCTAGTTCTATTTTGGATATCCTTATTTCTAAGTATATCACACAGAAAAACCTCGAGTACAATCTTCTCCATAACTCGGTGAAGGACCTTGAGCTTCCTCATACAGCCAGTAGTGAAGGAACACGCCTCAGATCCATATATGGCGATCCGCACTGGTTTTATAATCTTATTGCTCACCAAGTAAATACAATACAATAAAATACTCTTTACATTACACCAAGGAAAGAAAAAAAAATAACAAAAATAATCAAATATTGAGGGAAACACTAAAGGTGATCTTATCGCTACATAGCAATCTCTTCCAGACAACCCAGAAAAATAATTAAATAAAAATAAGAGAAAGATTATCGAGTAGGGTGCACTAAAATAAGAAAGGATACTGACTTTTCACTAAAAAGAACATTTTTTAGGTTAGAGAGACAACTAGTTTTCCTTAACTTGTTTCTTGAACACATTTATGGATTGTCTATTTTTAATCGACTGGAGTAAGGAGTTCCCAAAGCTCCAAAAACAGAGAATGACTTATCATAAAATGTCAAGGAGTACAGAAGACGTTGGAGTGAAAGATTTTCCTAGGATCATATAGAAAATTTATGACAGGAACTGAGCAATTTAAAACGTTACTTTAGATAGGGAGGGCTTGATATATTAAATAAGACGCAGGAGAGGGCAGAAATAATATGAGCATTCCTACCAAGACGGAGTGGGAGCCATTTGAGTTTAGTGCGGTATTTCAAGATATGGTCATATTTCCAACCAAGCTCTCTCAAATTTTGATGAGTGGCCAAAGATGTGTGTGGTATGGCGTTATCAGGCCCGGGCGAGTATGGAATTACAATGGAGCTTCTGTAAGCGGGCGGAAATCCGATACTTAAAGTCTTTCAGAAACTCATCAATTCCGTTCTCCATGGTGGAACTACTACGGAGACGTGGAGCAGAAGTGTGGTGGTCTTGTTCTTCAAGAAAGGCGACAAAGCTCTCTTGAAGAACTACGGATCGATTTCCTTTCTGAGCCGCGTCTACTTGCCCTTTTAGAGCCGCGTCTACGTGCACTTCCAGCCTCCCGAATAAGCCAGTTTCGGAATAGCATCATAGACCACTTACATACCCTTCGGCAAGTTGTACAGAAGTCCGAAGAGTACAATCTGCCACTTTGTCTTGCGTATGTGGACTATGATAAAGCCTTTGATTCCGTCGAAATTAAGGCGGTGCTGCAGTCTCTTCAGCGGTGCCAAGTTGACTGTCCGTATGTCGAAGTGCTGAACTGTTTGTACAGTAGGCTACGATGGCTATCCGAGTACAGAGCCAGAGTACGAAACATATCCATCTGCAGAGAGGTGTAAAACATGATGACGTAATATCCCCGAAACTTATCCGCTGCATTGAAAGACATTTTCAAGCTACTGGACTGGAAAGGATACGGTATGAACGTGTAGGTGAGTATTGAAATAATACTAGTTTTTACGGAATTTATCGCGTATATTTTAACTTTTTAAATACCCGACGTTTCGAACGCTTTCCAGCACTCATGGTCACGGGCAGGACTGAGATGTTCAACGTCCATATGTCATAGTTAACCGCGGTTACCATAGATTAAAATTTAACTTTTGTTCCGATCTATGCAGTATGAACTTATGGTATCTTGAAGTCTTACAGTTGTATGCTTGGGTTGGGATTTAATTTTATTTATTATAGAACACGTACAGGATCGCCCCCGTCACTACATCAGATTTGATAGACCGCAGATCCTCGCTAAAGAACACCGATTCCTTCCAAGGATGATTCGCGAGGCTATTGAAATCAAAAAACATCCTAATTTCAATAGAGATGATGGCTGGGTGCTACCATCTGCTTGGGATCCTATAATAAATAAAATTAAATCCCAACCCAAGCATACAACTGTAAGACTTCAAGATACCATAAGTTCATACTGCATAGATCGGAACAAAAGTTAAATTTTAATCTATGGTAACCGCGGTTAACTATGACATATGGACGTTGAACATCTCAGTCCCGCCCGTGACCATGAGTGCTGGAAAGCGTTCGAAACGTCGGGTATTTAAAAAGGTTAAAATATACGCGATAAATTCCGTAAAAACTAGTATTATTTCAATGTGTAGTGTTCGCTTAAATATAAGAAATCATTGTGTAGGTGAGTACATCACTCACCTTCGATTTGCTGTGATGATGATGATGAATTATTCCTTATGGCAGAATCGCTGGAGGACCTAAGCACTATGCTCAATGACCTCAATAGTGCCTCCCAACAGATAGGTCTTAAGATGAACATGGACAAAACAAAGGTCATGTTTAATATCCTTGTCACACCTATGCCCGTAGTTGTTGGGAGCACTAAGCTCTAAGTTGCTGACGAGTATGTTTACCTGGGACAAATAGTCCCGATTAGGTAAGTCCAACTTCGACCGAGAGGTCAATCGACGGATTCAACTTGGCTGGGCAGCATTTGGGAAATTACGACCGACACATCTTCTCGTCAGGTATACCTCAAAACCTGAAAATTAAATTGTACAACCCGTGCGTGTTGCCAGTGATCTTTGGAACTGAGACGTGGTCCTTCACTGCTGGCCGTATGAGGACGCTCAAAGTCACTCAGCGAGCTATGGAGAGAGCTATGCTCGGGGTTTCTCTGCGTGATAAACTTAGAAATGAGGATATCCGCAGTAGAACCAGAGTGACCGATATAGACCAACAGATTAGTAAGCTGCAGTGGCAATGGGCCGGCCATATAGCACGAAGAACCGACAACCGTTGTGAAAAAAGGTTCTCGATTGGCAGCCTCGTACCGGTAAGCAAAGTGTAGGGCAACCCCCCACTAGATGGAGTGGTAAGACATGCAGGAAGTCGATGGATGCAGGTGGCTCAGGACCGTGCTTTGTGGCATACCTTGGGGGAGGCCTATGTTCAGCAGTGGACTTGTGAAAGGCTGTGATGATGATGATGAATGATGAATCATTCTCTCGATGCATGTTTAAGCAAAAACTCACGGAGACTAATTTGTGATTGATTCTATTGAATATATTATATCATCACATTTATTTTTATCTCGCAAATATCCTGTACTTTTATAATACTATTATACAGTACGCGCTCGATAATCCGGCGCTCGCCAATCCGGCACGCTCAGTAGTCCGGCACTTTAAGACTCAGGTAGCCCGCTCTATAATCCGGCATTTTACACAACTGAACGCCGGACTACAGAGCGGTTGGGTTGAATTGTTCGAGTAGTTTCTCTCTTCTCTCGCTCGGCAGTTCGTACTTAAGAGGGCATATGCGTTTCGCGTCGAAAACTACATGTTTTATGGTTTTTCCAAAGGCGATAACGTAACGACGTGAGGAGATTATTTGCTGAAAATTAGGGCTTTAGAAAGATGAAGTATTTATTTAGTACATAGCAGTGCAAAATCATAGTTTTTAATGACGGTTTTTTAGGGCGAAGACAATCCCTTCACTGTGTTTTACGAAAATATGCATCAGAGTTATCTTTCAGGTTGAATACAACCATTATTATAAGCTAAAATACTTTATTATAAGCGTTATTATAATGAAATATATAGTCTTTTAGGGTATAGCAAAACCTAAATTACGATAATATTTCGATTTAATATTATAAAATAATATTATAAAATCACCAAAACTGTCTACTTCAATGTAATTTTTTACATGTATTTGCTTATAAACTTTATCTATTTTAATTATTTTATCAAAATACATGTAATGTTAAATATCCAAAAAAAATTTTAGCTCGTTTTATTTTGTCAATTATTTTATATAATTATTTTAAAAATACTATAAAACATCATACGCAGACGCAGTTCGATTCAGTACGCTCCGGGTAATCCCAACGACAGGACGTATTACTTTTTCTCACCGACACCGCGCGACCGCGTTGATACACCGATAGGGCTATACTACACCATACTATAACTAGATACCTATAGCA